TTAGGGGCGAAGCTTTTTATAATGGCACCTGTTCGTCCCCCGTAGTATGTAACAATTATAACAATTTGACCTCCAAGGTGGTGCCGGTGAGAGACTTCTTCTGTGCGTTGTTGAACAATAAAAATTAGTGCTCAATGTACATGTCTATGGCTGGTAATGGGGAATGAGAGACAGGAGCATTCGGCTTTTAGTTAACGCGCAGGCTGCGATCACCATTAGCAGCCATTGGCATATACATTGAGCACTATCTGACAAGAAAGGGTTGCTACGTCATACTCGCTGGGCGTAACCTCCTTGGTTTTCGAAAGGTTTAGCGAGCGTTCGGCCGCAGTGCCATGAATACAGTGAACTAGTATATGCCACGAACTCGAGGTGATTAAAGATGGGAAGTGGACTTCGAAACGCAAGCCGTAAGAAAGTGTGCGTGTGCCACCTCTCGTTTAGTCCTTGGAATGTCCGCTGGATGGCGGTGCTTCTATATGGGGAATATATGATGAAAAGATGCGAGATGGTGGTACTTTGAGTGTTAAATAGATGAACGAACGGACACATAGACAGATGCATAGATGGATGCATGAACGGACGCAGGTGCGGCTGCATGGACGAACGCAGGGACGGACGCACGAGCAGACGCACGCACGGACGGGCTGATGGACGCATGGATGGTCACACTGACGGACGCATGGACGGACGGAAGCAAGAACGAATGGACGGACGAATTCTTCGCCCCAATCTCCATCATTCACTCCGTGGATATGCTGCCATTTTTTTTCTGTACTGGTCACCTCGGTCGGGGTCTGGTGTGCTCACTATCATGATGTTCTGTGTCTTGTTGGGGCATATCGCGTCGAAGTGCCGGATTTCTGGTGGTGTAGCCGCGGCTTCATGTATGCCTCTGGGTATATCGGTTGGGCCGAGTGCGACTACGCGTAGGCCTCCCCTCGGTCGGATGACAATTTTGTAGTATCCCGCTGACAGCTTGGACATTCTGCTCCCTTTTTCGATGCGACTCATCTGTCTTTCCTGCGTTTTGGCTTGTGTGCTACGAAAACCGGGTTCTACCTAGTTGCTAGCACTATAGACGCCATCAGCGTCCTTGACCGATTCATGTCCGGCCTTTCGATGACGTCCGTAATAGACGGTGTGTCAGCCTTCTTCACTCTCGGTGTGTCAGCCTTCTTCACTCTCGGTAGTGGCTGGCGATTCATCATCATCGTGTTGTACGTCTATCGTCCTCGAATCAGCAGCATTGTCTTGCGCGTCGCCTGCCGACGCGGTGGATTCCATTGGGTTTACAGCGCCGGCTCCCTGAGGAAACCGGCCTGTTTCGCAAGGCTTAACAGCGTCTCGTGTGGTGTGCACAAAGAAAAGGCCGTAAAAAGATGAAAAACAGTTGGCCCACCTTGTCTTTGGTATCCTGAGAATTTGGATGACGAGGCGAATCTTCTGATATCACTCTGAGAAACGCACGTGGTGATTTTCACTGCGAAGTTGTTCATGAAAGCAGGAGCTGACGTGAAGGGCGTCTGCACTCGTCGGCGCTCGTGTAGCGTCTCTCCGTGAGCCTATTCAAAAAAAAAATTTGTGGGAATATGTTCCTCATCCGACACCCAACAACTTCCACTGTCTAACTAAAATTTGGTTTAGGGCCTGCTGAGTGCCCCTTTAAAAATCTCTCGCATCAAAATTACCGATGTCTGTGTCACCGTTCTCTGTCAATCACCCGTTGCTCGTTGTAGCATAGCGCGGCCCGTGGTGTGCAGGTATGTGCCACAAGTGCCTGGAGCATGGTCTCGAATATAGCGCTTGATGTCGTACGCGCCAAGTTTTTCGCGATTTCCGCAGCCAGGCATATGTGTCAAACTCCCCGTAATAAAATTTGTTCACTGGTTCAACCTAAGGAGACGATAGTTATAGCGCGAGAACAAAACGACGACACAGAGACAAGAAGGACACGAAAGGGGGTACCTTGTAATAAAGTGTGCTTCTTGTCTCTGTGTCGCCGTTTTGTTCTCGTGCTATAACTATCGTCATGCCATACCAACTAGCCCAAGCTGCCACACTTCTAAGGAGACGATTACGAAAGTGCCCAAATGTCAGTTGATAGATAGATAGATAGATACATAGATAGATAGATAACGAAAAAGTGCTTCTCATTTCCTAAAATTGACGAGCAGGTATCCAGACAGGATATCTTCTTTATAATTTCTTCATGCTTCTGCATCTACCTTTGCCTCGAAAACGTTTGAAATTCTTCAGGTGTCCGTGTGAGCTCCTTTGAAAAAAAAATATTTTCAGTAAACACCAGGCTGCCCTGTCTGAAAATTACCTTAGAATAAGAGCTTTCCGCAGAGGTTGTCTACATTCCAAGCCAACCTTGTACGCTGGCATATTTTAGCCCGTGACGACGTAGTGCACAAATCTGGGACGTTTACAACAAGAACTCATTTTTTAATCGACTCTGGAACACACGCTTCTTTCGACTGTTCATGTGGTTGTAGAACTTTATGTTGCAATAGAGTGGGATGCGTTTGTTAGATGTGAAGCAGCTCTTTGATTCACGTGGGTAACGTCGTACGTACGTGCGTCCATACGAACATGCCACAACGCATTCTTCTCACCGCAGCTGTTGAAGCCGTGTCAAGTAGGTCACGCCTGTGGTATAGTCACACCGCAGCACGCCTTGACGTCATGTTCCCTTGACACGCTTCCCTCGCAGGTGTGCGAAGGCGTCACTTTCTCCCTCACCCTCAGCACGCTCGCCGCAGCGCGCGCAGCTGCCTGCTTCCTCCGCTCGCTCGCAACAACCTTCTTCTTAACTTCATCCTCCCCTCCACCCAGAATGCTCGACCACACGTTGAGTGGAAACACTCTTTCGGCTCAGTTATCTTCCGTGAAACTTGCACAAACCCTAGCTGACTCCCACCTGTGCCTTTGCGTTTCAAGCAACTATTTATTCGAGTAAACGCTACACCGAGTTTAACTTCAATTTGTTCTTTAAGCACCCGCATCAACGCCCGTTTCAACCGGGTCAACACCATTGCTGCTTCGCATTCCATCAGGGTTCCTTTTGGGGAAACGGTGCATGATTTTCTTTCCATAAGTATTCATCCACTCCGTGGTTTTCCACAGAATTCCCTTTATGTCATCCTTGTCATAAATATCATCTTCATGTTTTTTTAATGCGAAGCATTACTTAGTGAGCTTCGGCGACTTTGAGCGTATCTCTATCTAGCCGCCAACAACCTTTAGCTCTCCTGGCCGTTTCGATAAAGGTATCAATATCAAACTTTGTATGGCATAACATGACTGTATGAAGAACATATTTCAACAGTCATAACATGAAATAGATGACATGTATGTCATGAATGTCATGATTTACTTGTCATGGTCCTGCAGGTCTTGCGGTAGTTTTGTTCACATGGCATGTCGCAAAACTGGTATGACATGACATGATTGCATGGCGAACACAAGTGACAGAGCCTCACATGAAAATCATGACATGCGTGTCATGTAACAACGTGACTACATGCTACGCTCATGATGCGCTCGAGGCCGTTTCGCTGGCTTCACATGTACCAAACTCGGTATTACGTGACGCCAACGGACGACATATGTAAATGACACATTCCAACATGATAATCACGACATGCTTGTCATGTAACATGACTACATGCCAAACTAATGATGCCTTCGCGGCCATTTCGCTAGCTTCACATGTGCCAAATTTGGTATTACGTGACTTCAATGGATGACGAAGGTATGTGACTGGTGCAAACATGATAATCATGAGATGCACGCCATGTGAGAACATGACTACTCGCCACAGCGAAGGCGCCAATACATTTTGACGTGACGCGGTGCGCGTGCTCGCCGGCGTTCATTTCGTCGCGTCACGCCGGCGTGTCCACGCCAAGCGCCGGTCCTGCCATATACTCGCAGGCACGCGCCGCGCTTCGTTGCTCTAACGCATGCGCGTTTCAGCGTGTCCGGCTTCCCTCCGTCCCGGGCCGCGCTGGCGCTGGTCATGCCTGGCGCCAGACTATATAGTGCTCGCGTTTTGCTAAGGTAGCGTCGCTGTCCCCAGAGTGCGCACGCGTCAACGTTACGTTGGAGTATATTGGGCGCTTCATTATACGCTCGTGGTCATTTTGATAGCTCCACATATACCAAATTTGGTGTTACGTGACGTCAATGGATGACAAAATATATGACTGGTGCAATCATAATAATACTGACACGAGTGTCACGTGAGAACATAACAACATACCACGCTCATAGCGTGCGCGCGTGCGTTTCGCTAGTTCCACATATACTAAATTTAATATCACGTAACGTGAATAGATGACAAAGGCAAACGATACATCCAAACATGATAATCATGACACGTAAGTCATGTACGGTATCAGTTACCTCCACCTCGTAACGCTGTGCTGATTTTAAAGAGGCATATTAACCTTTCTCATTCGTGCTTCGCATATCATCGATTCCCCGTGGGATCTGCCAGTTTTTTTTTTCACTTCATGTGCGCGAAGCTGCCCCTTGCAATAATGTTATACGCTTAATGTACCTGTTTTATTCAACTGTTTATAGATCATACTAATCGCAGCTTCTGCCCAGCGCTTTAGTCAATCTCAAAGTAAATGAATATCACCTTTAGCCACGTTTGATTACAGTATACATTAAATGCCCCCTTTAGGGCATCTATGCGATTACCTAGTTCCAGATAACAGATGATGTAAGTTTATTTTAGTGACCCACATTTCTAAAGTACGCTAATTGGTAGATAAAACCGGAGAAATAATTTGGTGTTGTCACTAAGTTTATGTTCGACACAGCAATTTTTCCTTAATGTAGAATGAAACGTCGTATGAATCGTGAGCGTGTTACTTTATCAAACCAACGAGATCAATAGTTTCTCCAAATTGACAAAAGTAGAATCCTAAAAAAAAGTTGTGTCTTGAAGCAGAATACTCTATTGTGGTTCTCATATTTTACAGGATTCCTCTTAGCAGATGCTGGATTTGATGTATGGCTCGTAAACACCAGGGGTGTGCCACAGTCGAATCGCCATGTAAATCTAACCACGAACGACAAACGGTTCTGGAACTGGAGGCAAGTCAGTGATTTCACGTCTTTTCAGGCATTAACACTGCACCGAACTATAATACTTGCGGATAATGAAATATACGATTAATAAATGCGCAACATTTTTTATTCGTATGATGTCGCGCTTCGGTGTCGGCGGCAGCACTGTCCACGCCCCCACTGCGCATTCTCGCGTGTCGCGTCTCGTGCTGCATGCTTGCGTATCGCGCCGGCTCAGGAAGACATTCGGGAAACTTCTGCTCTCCTCCCCTTCATTCACCTCGCAAGGCTGACGCAGGCAGTGTCTGCTAGTAAGAAAATGGCGTCCGGAAAAAATGTAGAAACAGAAGTTTAAACTGGGCACGTGCTTTTTACGCGATGTTTACGTGATAGCGTTAATTAAAGAGCTCGTTTCGCAGACATGTTGGTGTCAGCGTTGGTGTAGGTGTCGATGACGTCAACTGCTCGCGCTGCACAACCGTTCACTAGCCACCACGGGTTTTGAATTCACTCAAAGGCGTCTTTACTTGGCTTTCGCTTGACTTGACGCTTAACTCGTGTAGATGCGATCGAAGCAAGAGCATCTTCAACCAGTAGTGGGGCACATCCCTACATCAACATCAATCATTCGTTGAAGGAAACGCTTCTCCTTCATTCAATGGATAAGAATGGCCCTGCTTCGGTGGTCTAATGGCTAAGGTACTCAGCTACTGACCGGCACATCGTGGGGTCGAATCTGAGCTGCGGCGGCTGCAATTTCGGTGTAGGAAAAAATGCTGTAGGCCCGTGCGCTCAGATTTGAAGGCACGTTAAAAACCCCAATTGGGCGAAATTCCGGAGGCCTCCACTGCGGCGTCCCTTATAATCATATGGTGGCTTCAGGGAGTGAAACCACGCATATTGATCAATAGTTAGTAATAATTAAGACTTAATAACAATTAGGCATTGTATTACCATACTCTATTACGTAGCGTTCACGTGATACCCCCTCACCCCCCCCCTCTCTGCGACGGATTTACTCGAGCTCCCCTGTGGGAAGATGCAGGCGGAAAATATTTGGTCGGGATGTGCAGCAAACTAATACCTTGTTACATAATGTATTATTCATTTCACGATATCAATGTTCGTATAAAATAATTAGTGTGGTCTCACTGGCAGTATATGAGAGTGGAGCTCCAGGATGCTTGGCGGTACACAGCACCTTCACCAAATGCGATTAGGTACAACTTAATCATAAACCAACTCTCAAAGCAGCAGTTTTAGCCAGGTTTATCGATTAGCCTTACTTATTATTCACGGAATCTCAACAAGGTCACCACCCGCTGAAGCAGCGTCAGATCCGCAAAACAGCACAGGCTTGCGCACAATCGCGACCTCGGTCTTTCGTTGTCTTTCAATGACTTCAGTGCGTACGTCAAAAATTATCAGACCATCACAGAGAAATAGAATCATGCTGTTGTACGGATAGAATGGTAGCTTGAACGAGGGGTATTTCCGTTCACACAGCGTCATAGAGTCCTCAAGGTTTCCAGTGTGCATAGCTTTTTTGCTGGTCTAATATTTATGTTGAAATGTGATTTCAGCTTGGAGGAGATTAGCACACAAGACCTTCCAGCCGTAATCGATTACATCTTGAACATGACAAATTTCACGAAGGTGGGCCTGCTGACAACATCGCAAGGAACAACAGCCTCACTGGTCCTTCTCTCTATGCGACCAGAATACAACCAGAAGGTAAAGTAACAACAGCGGAGCCACTATGAACAATGACACGGTGTTTCACCTAAACTGACGCTTCGCCAGCGTTCGTCAAAAAGTTCTATTGGCACTGCAAGCTGTAAAATCATTTAGATCCTTATTATCAGTTCTGGGGCTGAGGCTCACGGGACGGCTTTAAGCTCTCCCATAGTAGAGTACCAAGTGCTCTAAATCATTAACCTCTTTTTCTAAACAAACGAGCTACAGGTCGAGATGGAGTTAAAACGCAAGTTGTACCTGACAATCAAACGATTTAACAATCACTGTCCAAGCGCTCCGTAAAGATGGTTTACCAGCAAAGCGGAAACTTGCGGCCACAGGTGGTTGCTGGTATTCCAGCCAAAACGTGTCGATAAACACCCACCGAAAGTAAACATCGGCCCCGGCAAACACGTTTCCGTCATTGCCCCTTAGGCGCTGCTCTACTCGTAACGCCGTCTCTTCGGCTCGCCGCTGTCCCATGTATTCATGAACACTGTTCAGCTCGGCGTCTTGATTAGCAGAATTCGCATGCCATTGGCGCTAGCGCTCTGCTTCGCCATTCAGCGTGGCTGGAAAGCTGCCGTATTTTCAGTAAGTTGTTTCTTGCGCTTGGGCTCCCAGGCCTGCTCTCGAGCCCGGGCTGTATCTCCTCTTTGCCTGGTTCACGGCTTTCTTTGGGTGAGAGGTGACATGCGCATGCCGAAGAAAGGGCGTGTGGCCGACTTAAAGAACGACGTCACTGATGGGGCACCCAAATGAGATGTTTAGCGTCACTTTAGTGAACGGTCTTTGATTTTGCCGTGTCATTTACAGCTTTCGCTCTAAAAAATGTGTACAACTCAACACCTCGAGTGAGGTCAAATGAAGGCAATGTTGTTGTTGTTAAAGCTGATAGTCAGTTCTTAGTTAGTTCTTACCCTTCAGTAAAACCAAAATTTGTCATATCAGTTAGCCGGCTTCAGCCAACATGGCCTAACAGTTACCAGCCTAGAGTAAGTGCTTGTAGCATGCGCGTAAAAACTCGCCGGCTTCTTTTGCAATCTCGTAAGGTGATGTGAAGGCCAAAGCCATCTTCTTGTTTCTTTCTTCACAGCCGGCGTATTCACAGCCGGCGTAAGGATACGCCGTATTACGCCGGCGTATTCACAGCCGGCGTAAGCATAGACATCGTAGAATTTGAGAATTCAGGAGACAACTGCTGATTAGTAACTAATTTTGTTTTCAGGTGAACATTCTCGTCGGCTATGCTCCAGTGGCAAACATCACGCACTTCACATCTCCGATGAGGTGGCTCGTTCCTTTCTCAAAGCTAGTCAAGGTACGCACTCTCTGCCTGACCAACGTTCTGTCTGCACACTTCACTGTAGCAGCATCATTTACGAGCACTTTGCAAATAATGCCTCCAGAAAGTGCATTTTCTTTTCGGCGAATGCCGGTATACTGTACGCAAACACCTTGATCGGTAGCAGCGTCTCGCCAGGTGGAAAGTGGAAACCGAAAAGCATTCAGCGAATTGAATCCTACCTGCCACATGATGTAAAATTTTGGCAACAGCATGCACACTCGTTTTATTATATTGGTGAAGCCTCACTCACCGCCGTAACACATACCGGACCGCCAACTGGAGAGGCTGTCTGAACGTACAAGGTGCCTGTATTTCATTTGCACAATGTGTTTCAGATCACTTGCGCCTCGTATTACAAAAGAAAACGTATACGCTACACGTGCCGGTTCGGCCCAGTACTATTCACAGCCGATAAAAGCGCGTCATGATATTGGCTCCAATTCTCCAAGCCGGTTAGCTAGCAAGTATTGCTAAGTTTCCTTTTTAATTAATAAAACTGGCGAGAAATCTTACGTGCAAACTTTGTAACACTTCTATTGAAGAACAAGGATATTTCATCCATGCGAACATGCCTGCATACCAATATCTTAAGCTGGGTAATTATTAAGCACTGCTCAACTAGCCTTCGAAATAGTATACTTCCAGCAAAAATATTGAAGGAAAAGATTGTAGCGTTTGTGCAGCACCTGCGTAGTATTTCATCGATGCTGAAATAACTGCCTAGACTATTCCTTTTCCAGCTTTCCAAGAAAGTACACGAAATTTAAAATAATACTAGGCGCAAGTTAGCTGAAACACTCTGTATGCGCTTGCACCATAGGTCAGATTTGCCCTGACTCTGTCGCAAGAGCTACCATTACTTCTGCAAAGAACAATCTTGTTGATCTGGCTTGTTAAGCTAAAAACCACTTATTGCGTTCGCAGAAACGCTAGCGTGTTAGGTTGTCCAAAGGTTGAATGAAATTTTTTGCGCCCACTTACACTATGGACGAAAACTCGATGAGCCAGGTTGCCGGGATGCATCTATATACATGACTGTGAAATCTACGATAACTCCTATATCAACGAGTTGTCGTCAGTTTGACGCCATTCGAAAGTGCAGTGGCTGGTCCGTGCCTTCAAATATTATACGTGGTTTTTGTTTCTCATTCTTCGTGCTGTTTTTATAGAATGGGCTGCTGTTCGCATAATCATTACAGGCGGTGAACGACTTCTTCACGCGTGGTGGATTCTTGGTCTCGAATGCAGTGCGACAAAAGAAGGTTGCCTGGATGTGCGATCACCGTTTTTTCCGCAACCTCTGCTACAAGCCACTGGCCTTCCTGTATGGAAAGAATCCGAAACAGTACAACAGCGTAAGAGAGAACTTGACCTTATTATGCATATACTGCAGTGAAAGTGTTGGTCGTGTATGTATGTGTCATGGCATGCGTACGTTCTTCCGATACTAAAGAGAGCGGGCCCACTACACAAAAGCTTTCAAAAAACAAATGGTGACTTTGAGCAGATTGGTGAGATATCGCGAAGCGCATGCAGTTGCTGTATTTTTCCTTACTTCGCCGTGAGCCTCTCTGTACCTTATAGTATACACTTACTACATAAGATAAGGGTGAATGAGCTTTTGCCTTAAGTGCCACTCTTTTATCTCCTTCCACCAATTGAGTCCACATAATTTTAATTATTAATATTACCATTCAAATGTGCCCATGTTCATACGAGAAGAAAAGGAAGCTTAGCGACACCTAGAAATAGTGAAATGTAAGACTGGCGTAGTTAAAGCAATGCTACGCTGAATTCATAAATTAGGTTTGAGCTGAGAAATTACCACTGTTAAGTTGTCTTTAAATACACATTTGTGATATACATAAATGCGTCACCTAGGTTGCTGTCGTTTCATGGATTACAGATTTGCATGAAACCCAAATGCGAAACACGCGAACATATGCAACCCCACACACACCTAAGGCAAACACGCACGTATGACTAAATTATGTGCATAATATACAAGCTGAGGTGATCGAAATTTATCTGTCCCTCCTACAGCGCCATGTCTTGTAATCATCACGTCGTTCTGGCACTTAGCAGCAAATAATTCATTTCAATATGCTGGCCCCGCCACGATGATCTAGTGGCTAAGGTGCTCAGCTGCTGACCCACAGGTCGCGGGTTCAAATCCCGGCTGCGGCTGCTGCATTTCCGATGGAGGTGGAAATGCTGTATGCCCGTGTGCTCAGATTTGGGCGCACGTTAAAGAACCCCAGGTGGTCGAAACCTCCGGAGCTCTCCACTACGGTGTCTCTTATAATCATACGGTAGTTTGGGGACGTTAAACCCCACATATCAATCAATCAATCAATCAATCAAATCATTTTAATATGCTGTGTTGAGACTCCATGCAGACCGAAACATCGAAGACAGGACTGAGCGAAATGCACATAACCCGCATACATACCACTAGTTAGCGCCCTGTGTGTGTGTTACGTGTGCTTCGCTTTGTCCCGTCTTGGATGCGCTAATGTTTCCTGTTATTGGTTACTAAATATCTCGCTGTGCAACTACACAGATACCTTAAACGCTGTCAGAGTTCTGAGTAAGGCTCTCGTAGTAACTTCTGTACTGTATGTCTCGTTGTATCTGGCCATGTTGCTCGGCTGCTGACGCGAAGGTCACGGTTTTGATCCCGGTCATGGCAGTCTCATTAAGATGAGGGCAAACGGTAGAGGCCAGTGTACTGTGCGATGTCTCTGCATGCTGAAGAACATCATATGATAGTAATTTCCGGAGTGTCCCTCTATGTCGTCTCTCATAATCATACCGTTGTTTTGGGATGGAAAACCTCACTTATTATTAAACCTATGCACTGACGCACACAGACGAGGGTGCCCGTCTACGTGACTAACTTACCTGTAGGCTCCTCCAGCAAAAACGTGCTTCACTATGCCCAGGTAAGTCGACTGCTTTTACTCATTTGTTGTAGTACACACTCCCCTGTGCTAATCATATAAGTGGCGAGGCTGAAAAAGATTGCTCTAGTTTTATTGAATTGCAATGTCACAATACCCGAACTACAACTTTTGCCTGGAGTACATTCCTTGTAAACGAGAGAATGTAAAAAAATGATACACGTAACAATAGTATCGTGCGGTTTTCGGAACGAACGCGTAGTGAAGTCATCGTTTACGACAGTGTCTGCTGAACCCTAAGTAAATATTTGTTTTAAAAAATGAATGAAATTGTGCTCTAAGCAAGCTAGACATTATTATAAGATTTTTTCAGGAGACTTCATAAAGCAGTCTTAGGGGCAAATCTCTTCAAGGTTAAGGCTTGTTCATTGGCGCGCGCAGCAGCCTTGGTGAGGATTACGCTGATGACGATAATGACAATGACAATCACAATCACATACAATAACTGACTTGTGCAGCATATGATGTCTCGATATGTTCTACAATGCACTTTGTGTGGCTCGAAACAACCAACGAACTTGACGGGAATATGCACGGACTTCGTTATTGCCAACTTGAAACAAGATACGATACCACAAAGCAGTAACAATGAAAGCAAAACGAAACTCGCTACTTAACCCAACTTACCCTGTATGACAAAGAAAAACACTTCGTCACTAATACACACTTGTGAGTGGACAATGCCACAAAGGATTTACGGTAACACTGAACAATCGCACTGCTTCGCACGCTCATCATCATTCACTTCGTGGATCTGGCGTGTTTCTCCTACTTCTAAAGCTCAGTGCTTAGAAAGCTTTTTAGAACACAATTCCCATCGAATTGGCGGAATGGTTTAATTTAGTGTTTTACTGAACTGTTCCATAAATGCACAGGTGCCAGACATAAAGGTGAATTGGCAAAGCTGCTCTCGTCTACGCTCCCTGCTTTATTTCTGTGCATGGAGAGGGTAGAAATGAGTTTGTTTTATTTCGTTTTGTTACAGATGTACAAGACGAGGAATTTCGTTCGATTCGATTACGGGAAGAATAACACGGCGATATATGGACAGGTATGCTGCTTACCTCAATGAACACAATTTTTTATACGTTGCCGTCCATCATCGCCGTCATCACATATATTTAACTGCTCCTCACGAATTACGGCTTTGTGTTTATTGAAGTTGTTATTTCTCTGGTAATCCCAAAAGACCGGTCATTGGCAGGCAAGATAACCACCACAGCCAATGACGAGGAGCGAGCATTTAAAGCCCTAAATTCTCGTGGCAGTGACATTATTGCAAGTGCACTTCCAAATAGGAATGCAGAAGTGGCGTCTATTTCTTTCCTCAACCTCTCCTCCTCCTCGTTCTCCTACACTAAAACTGATGCCAATTTTACAGTCACAATAACGCCTAGCGGTAACACGGGATTACGAGCCGGAAGCAGAGCCACACGGCCACATGGCGGTATCAGTGGCACCTACTTATAACAACCCCTGTATCGACACGTGCGCCCGTTGTTTGTGAAAAAGCACCCCACTATCGTGCGCATCCAGTCATCGCTGAGCTCCGTAGTATGTAGAGAAATGACGGTGAGGTATGACGGTGTGCTAGCCGGCTGAAAATCTCGCCACTAACCAGTTGCGTATGTGACAAGCTTCATTCTGCTTTATAGGTACGCCATCAGCACGTGCGGCACGCATTCCGGTGTACACACATACAATGTGCTCAAGGATGCACATAGCATCCACCACTTCGTAATTGGTCTGACAGGTGCTGTCTCGCCTACAATCGGTAAACTTCAGTAGGAAAGAGAGAAAACAACTTTACTTAAAATAAATGAACCCTTGTCGGGGTCCACCAATAAATAATTGTAGTAAATATGACTTGGCTGTTTTCAACAAGTAGGGCAAATAAAGTTTGGCCGAGCTTAGTTTCCTCTTCTTATTACAGAATAAATAACTAGTGACAATCCCTCGGACAACACATCTTGTACACAAACTTATGACCGGCAAGAACGTGGCACAAGGTACTGCTGGGTTGAAGCGGAAAGACTAAATTTTAGTTGCGCAATCAGCCCTGATTTTTGAAATTTCAGTTATATTTCTTTCTTTAAACGAGAACTCCGGTGAATTTTTGATCATAATGAAATAATGCTGTTTTCTAAGAATATTGGTAGTCCTGCAAAAGTTAGGGTGGTTAATTTTGTCCTGGCACTAGTCAATAATTTTAATTAGGCAATAAACATCAAGTCAAAACAGAAACCGAAACAGGCAGCTGCTCCATCAGCCATCGTGCGTATCGGATGACGTTACGAAAATCCGTCGTTGATGAAGTCACGGATCCGCTAGACCCCGTCATGGCTTACCAGTGTGTAAACATAGCTCATGTGCCTCTTTTAGCGGGCGCAAAGCAATTTGGCGATGTCATAAGAAACGGAATCAAGCTGTGCCACTCGTCTAAACTTACCAGTAGTAAGTTCAGCGATGATTCAGGCTACAATCTTATCGCGGAAATACTGCTTTTTGGTTTCGACCCTCCGGCGTGTGAAGCATCTGAAATGCCCGGAATCACTTTCCTCGTTGTTAAAGGGGTCGTGAAATGGTCGCTTTAAAACGACAATGCGGCACCATCGGCTGCTATATGCACTAACTGTATTATCAGCCCGAGTGGACCTGCATAGAGGCTTTGCCTATCGAGGAACTTGGAACTCATTGGCATATCGAGCACGTGCAAGATGCGATCATCGGCGTCTGCCATACGCGATCCGCGTTCCACAAGAACGCTGTTTAATATGACGTCAGAGTTCAAGTTGGCACCAATTGCGTGTGACAAAGACGCTTATGAGTGTCTCAGTTGCACGAAATTGCAAGTTCCCAAAAGTTCCGCGTTCCTCGATAGGCAAAGCATTACTTATGATGACGTCACATAGTGTGTGTGGACGCCGGTGGCTTCGCATTGTCGCTTTAAAGCGAATGTTTCACGACCCCTTAGAAACGACGACTAACACGCTGTATGCATCTGACAAAACTGAGAAGATGCCTAATAATATATAAACATTATTGTTAAAAGCAAATTCTGGTGTCCCTCATTAACGGGTGCACGGTTATTCGATCGACTCCTTCGTTCAGTGCGAAGGCCCGTTACTTCCAGTGGCGTGACGCTCCGATATTTATTATTTTCAAACGAAGTTTAAAAAACGCGTTTCTTATTGAAATTGTGAACCGAGGTCTCGAACCTTTCATTATATTTTGCAGTCTTTTCCTTTCCAAGATATTGTCTAAACACTTGTCCTGGCGAGTTTTCAGTGCCTTGTTCTGGGGAGTCTTCAGTCCCAGTTAAAAAACTGTACCACCTCTGGTTTTCACAAGGACATCCACCACCATATCCTTTGGAGAACATTATTGTTTCCTTCGCAGTATACCGGGGAGATGGTGACATTTTCGCCAATCCACAAGACGTGCACGACCTTGCCGAGCGTCTACGATGCATCCTCGTGGTGAATCAGACCGTGCCGGATCCCCTATTTGGTCATCTTGACTTCATCTACGGCTACAATGCTACTGATATACTCCACCATCACATGGTAGAGCTCTTCAAGAACTGCAACTCGACCGATGAAGACTGTAGACATTTGGTCCCACAATCAGTACAAAATACCTGTAACCCCGTACCCACTTGTTGAGGTTAAGGCAAACATTTTTTTTGTCTCGTCAGTCGAAAGGCTTTGCGAGGCTTTGCAAGACCTGAAAATACTTGGAAAGATCGTATTTTCGGCTGCATTACTACGAATGATGAAAAAATTTAAGCAATAAAAAGAGTCCAACATTCGCCTGGTGCATCAGTGTCTAAACGCGTGTCTTGGCCTGCCCAATGTCTCATAACCTCAATGTCACATTACATCATTACTGATGTTATTTTGTGACGTCATCAGGACGTCAGCCAATGGCGTTCGTGTGACATCGTTGCTTGGCAAATGGTGTGCTGGCCCCGATGGTAGCGCAAGATTGTGTGTGGTGCAGAAATTTTTGGCTGGGAGAAGGACGAAAAAGATCAACACAACAGATTCAGGATGAACCAATTCAAAAACATGCCTTTCACTTTCGAGTCACCTACGCAGAATATGCAATAGACCATGTGAGGTTTCAAAGGTAGTGCATTTTTTTACTTCTTTATGCACATCTATTTACAAGGTTTTATGACCACTTCTTACCAGCATAGGCCTCACTGCGCTTACCTTTGCTTACGTCCTGTGGGATCTCCTCATTTCAAAAGGTTGCCGAAGATACTCTCTGTTACTAACGGCTTGTAATGTATGTTAGAGCCGTAGTCCTTGCTGAACAAGTGACATTTACTAATCATAATTTGTATAAACCGCAAATAATGTTGTTAAGAAAAAACTCCTAAAATTGTAAGCGCTGTGAACCAACTTGAATTGAGGCAATGAATGTCTGCTTGTAATCTACATTTTCATCACGCTCAATCAGCTACAATACATGATGCTGTGAAGCCAATTAAAAAAATCTTAGCATATCCACGGAGTGAATGATGATTAGTAGAGCGAAGCATCCGTCCCTCCATGCGTCTGTCTGTCTGTCCGTTCGTCCTTGCTTCCGTGCTTCTATCCGTCCGTGCCAGTGTCTGTGGGTCCACCCGTCCTTGCTTCCGTTCGACCATGCGTCCACCTATCCGTCCGTTCTTTCGTGCATCTGTCCGTTCGTCTGTTTGTCTGCCGGTCTGTCCGCCTATCCCCACCTGCTGAGTTGCGTTATCGAACTAGGCGGTCACGAACCACGACTAGCTAGGAGGGGCAAACCCGCGGCTTAAGGAGCTTCGCCCCTAAAATTGTGCCAACACAATTCACGGGACAAATTTTCAGATGCGAAGCAGCTTATGACGGAGTTCAAACCAGTTTGCGTAACCACCCTTACTGCGCATGCACAACAGCTCACCTGAGCGATGCCAGACCACGCTTACATGCTAGCGCCTTCCAGCCTGTGTAATGGGCTGAGTATGAAGTTACGGGCTCACCCCCTTACACTCTCTTAACAATCATGTGATGGCATCGGGGAGTCGGATTCTTCAGGCGCACGATGAGCCCACATGTTCCCGCGTCGCGTAGCCATGAACCAGCGTGGCTTGCTTTAAGGGCGACTCGGAAAGCCCCTTAACAAATTTTAGTAAGACCTTGGCAATTGCTGCGTGTCCGAAGAAAAGAATTATGCCGCAAAAATGTTGTCAATCGTTCCATTACAAGCTGAAAAAACTGTGTATTTTGAAGCGGCACGAAAGCATGACGCGAGGAGCCGAGCTTCGAACCCTTGCCGCTCGCCCCACTTAGGCTTCGCAAGCCAAAACTTTTCCCTACCCTCCCCGACATCCGACCAAGAGGTGGCGTGCGCATGACGTGCCCCAGCAAGCCCAACCCTCGTGCACGCGAGTGGCGTTGTTTTGTTGACCAACGTTACCTTGTAGCCTAATGCCTGTTTCTGCGGGATTGATGCCTCGGTGCCCGGTAGAATAGATGAGCATATCGAATGCTAGAACGCGTAGTATTATTATTTTGTTTACAGGGCTGGCGCCTGCTCGATGCGTCTACGGCGAGGACACGACCGCAAGCGTAACGCAGGCACATTATCTCCGCATCTCATTGCAATTCGCGGGGAAATAAATGAAAGAGACGCATGCATTTCCTTTTGTGTCCTTCAATAGTTAGCCAAATTTTATTCATCTATTCAAGCAACAAATTACACAAACTACAGATATCACGTGAAATAATTTTTGCCATGTCGCGCGCTACCGCTTTTAACGTCAGAGAACAGTCGTCGGTATACGTAGAGGTTCAACGTCAAAGCAGTACCGTCTCTACCTAGAGTGATTCCTACGTCTACGTCATACCCTCAATCTCTAGGTGCACGCAAGTGAAAGGAAAGGCAAGCAGCTTTCATCTTCAAATTTGATCCATTTACGTGGCGCGTAGCGTTGGAGGTTTTGGCAGACGTGATCGTGAACGCCCCACGTATAAATTGCGCTTATGCAGTTCACAAATGTCAAACTAGGTGAGTGGCCATTTAACAAGAGTTCGAGACGAGTAACAGCAACAAAAATTGCAGTGCCTTCGTGGTGCGCTCCACATGTAAGAGCGCGTTCAGCATTGGGCAAGGGGCCTGTGATGAGCAAAACTTTAAGTCGACCCATGCGCTGCTTCGCATTCTACTCAAGGTTCCCTGGGACATGGTATAATGTTTTCGTATTATATGCTGCAGCGTATAGAACATACCAATCTTACAAGAGACGTTATGGGACGCTCAGTTCAATTAGCCTACACATATATTTACATCCTCAATGCTGGCTTGTCGTGAAGAGGTCGCGGCCCATGGCTCGAAGGCGCGAGTACAATCTCGGCCCTGCGGTAAAATTTTGAATACAAGCTACATGCTAGAGACCCATATTATATTTGTTTTCGCTAAATTTTGCGGGTCACCAGACAATTTGAATTATCAGCAGCCCTCCTCCAGGCATTCTACAGTATCACTAGTTGATTTGTGACGTTGTACTCTATGCAGTTTCAAGTGTTTGCGTTTGTGAGTAACGAAAAGCAGCCCCAAGCTTACTTTCAAGGAAAAAAAAACCAATATCAGCAGAATTCCAATGATATATCCGCATTTATAAAAGAAACACCAACAACCACAATAAGAATAATAAAACCAATAGTATTATAATATTATTATGAGCATTATTGGTCAGCTTTTAGGTATTTAAATCACGACATGGATAAGAGTGAAGAATTTTAGCTTAATTTTGAAGACTGGAGTATTCTTAACGGGCGCCTAAAGCTCATATACATGTGATTTACGAGGTAGGTGTAAGTGCTTGCGCTGATTTACTGCAAGCGCGAAAGACATGACGTGTGCGCGTTTTTCGCTACTTAAATTGGCATTTTACTACTGCGAGTTTCGCGAGTTGAATGCGTGTACACTTGGTTCGGTCACTGTGGCATAAAGCATCTTTGCATATATTTTTTTTGCAGCTAGCCACACTTATACGAGACCAGTCTCTTTTGAATAGTGGGAAAATTATCACTTCACTGTAACAGCTGAAGTAAAGAACTTTTCTTTCGTGGTACGGCGTTTCTTGCTGATCACCGCGTAATTATTTCATTGAGGAAGTTACAGATAACAACACTGCGTATAGCACTCTGGTCGGGTTCTCAGAATGCACACGAGCAAGATAGGAAGCACCAATCTACTCAATCACTTGTTTGTGTGCCTCACAGATTAGGTGAGAGTTTATTTATGAATTACTTCCTTCAGATTATTCCATTTGTGGTACATATTTTGTTTAAACACATATCCAAGTTCAGCAGCACTCATTCAAATAAAGGAGCAAACGAAATTCTATACAGGAAGCCCGAACCCAGGGAAATGAACCTGGAAGTCATCGTGTGTGTCCGCGTTGCGGCCTTGATAAGCCTAGTGGTTGGCGTCGCGCTTAGCGCCAACGATGTTGGTGAGCACTTCTTTCTCAATGTGCTAAAGAGATCCCTGCACCACATTTTGAGCATGGTCAACTCTCCTGGGAACACGCACAACCATTATATTTTTGTCCGTGAGAAGGTACAATGACGTCGCTGCGGTCGGGCCGATGTGACGTCACGGGAAGTACTCGCCTACGCCGGCGCCGCTTGTCTCCTTTTTCTGCGCCCGCCGTGTACTCGCTCTCTAGCGGGTACATGGCTGGACGAAGACTCCAACTGGAACACGGCTGAATGAAGAACGGACAAAAAGTGGTGGGTGCCTTTTTCAATCATCTATATCCATATCCGTTCTATGGTTTATGTGTCATGAACAACAAAGTTGGAAGCGACATTAGGTGGAGGTTAGGTGTGTCGTAGTGGAGCTTGCACGTATTTGCTGCTGTCAACTTCGTGCTTTGCGTGCTGCTGAAGTGCATCTCATAGGCATAGAGCTAAGAAGCGAGTGGTTTAGACGTGCTCCGCCAGGTACCATCATATTCGCAGATGGTCACGCTTTATTTCTAACTTAAGTATTTCCATTATTATTCTAACAGTTATCTGACTTCAATTTGAAGTAAAGGAGAGATTCGGTATCATGTCTACCCACTATATAAATTAACTTGAACCAGAGCCTTATATTTGTATTTTTTTAAAAACACATGTGCTTGGAAAAATAAACTGCTGCTAAATGAATAGTTCTGATTCAAGATATGAGTTGCGCCCAGATAGATCTGTTACCATGAGTTCATTTAGCGTATCGGTAAATGAATGTTACGGTAATGATGCAGACTAAGTGAATGAGTACGCTGGAAGAGCAGATGGGGTCATGAGACCAGTAGCGCCTTTGTGACACTTGTCGAAATAGGTCTCAATAGCGCGTGCCTTTACACGTGGCGTACCTTCTGATATCCGCTGCGGCAGCGATTTGAAACACAACGTTGACGCAAGGGATCCACGGGTCCACACGAAGGCTCACGTGCCAGTGCCGGTACCATGCACCTATGCGGGATTGCAATCGCCTGTTCTCGAAAAAAAAATAATAGCTTTAGCTCAATGGGCCGTTTTCGTTCTCACACAAGTAGATTGAGTATATGTCTTTATAGGAGCAGA